CAAACCAAACCAAACCAAACCAAACCAAACCAAACCAAACCAAACCATCTCTAAATCCTAACAGGTATCTGCTATATTTCCTTATTCCTTCAACTAAGATCATCTATAAAAAGTAGTAGGCTTATCTGAATGTAAAAACTCAGAAATGATGCCAGCTGCTTCCAGAGAAGGGACCAGGTTGGCTTTACATAGAAAAGAAACTTAGGCTTTGCTTCTTGAGGTAGTATGGAGGGGAAGGGGGTTGGCAGAGATGTTTATGTTTACCAAAGGCTGCAGACTGTGGCTTGGAAATTACAGTTAGACTCTCCACACCACCATGCTTGAGGAAAACGAAACAACATGCTTGCTGAATTCTTTGAAAACCAGTCAAGGGGCATATTTACTCCTATCGACTACCATGGTTGCAGCACAACAAAACCAGATTTCACACAGACACAGAAACAGAAAATGAGCTGGCACTGAGTCAGGAACTAGTGAAATCTCAAGGGCTGCCAAGGTTTTGAGGTCTACTGTGCTATTGCTCTAGAAGAGCAACGCCAGATGTTCAGCTTTGTGTACACATGCTTGCCGATACTTTGGGGTTATGAGCTGAGAACAAGGACTAGGAAGGAATGTGATGTTAACAGTGGCTGCTGAGATGATGGTAAAAGTTACAAAGGCAAGGAAGCCAAACTCTGGTTCCCCACAATCATAGTTGGCAAGCTCCTTCTCAGCATAGTAGCCTCTATGCCACTGGTCTTTGGGGAAAAAAATATAAATCTTTAGCTGAAATAGAGAGCAAAGTTTGTTTTAGGGTTTCTCTGTGAAGCTCTGCCTGTTCTGGAACTTGGTCTATAGACTAGGGTGGCTTTGAACTCACAGAGATCTGCCCACCACTGCCTCCCAAGTGCTGGGATCACAGGCACGTGAACAAAGTTTTTTAGCTTGCTAGTGTTCTCCATGTTTTCTCAGGTTAGTGTGAAGTACTTTGCTCAGGGTCACACAGCTAACACTAGAGGCTTCCAGAGTTGTGACTAACCTTGAGGGGTGGGCAGAAGTGGGCAGGGAAGTTCTAAGTGGGCCGGGCACTGTGCCTCACTGGGGGTGTTCTGATTTCCTCTCTTTTTTGTATTCTGGTAACATTCCATAGACCTGGGTTTGTAGAAGATAGCTCTCTTTCCACAAGTTATTTTTTTCTCACCCTTTTTCTTAACAGCCATACGTCATGTCCTCTCCCCTCCCAGCTTTTCTTTGTCAACTTAACACCAACTAGAGTTTTCTGGGGGAAAGAACCTCAAGTGAAAAAATGCCTCCATCAGATTTTCTATAGGCAAGTCTATAAGGCATTCTCTTGATTAATGATTGATGTGGGTCGGACCAGCTCACTAAAGGACAGGTAGTGCCACCCCGGAGCTGGTCCTGGGTTGTATAAGGAAGTGGGTTGAGAAAATCACAAGAGACAAGCCACTTAGCAGCATTCCTCCATGGTCTTTGCTTCAGTTCCTGCCTTTAGGTTCTTTCAACATTAAGAGTATGACCTAAGTATTATTAGATGAAATAAACCGTTTTCTCTCAATGCTGTTTTTCATCATGGTGTTTCATCACAGCAATAGAAATCCAACTAAGGCACTGGCTAAACACCTTCAAACTTCCATAACTTTCTTTCTCAGCTTCAAGAGTTTTGTTTTGTGATTAATACCCCCCTTTAGATGCTTAGATGCCATGCAGGGACTCATTCCATGGAAACTGTCACATCTGTCACCTTAGTTGCCCATAGAGCATGCCTTTTTCCACACTCCCAAAAAAAGACACACTGAGGTGTGTGTGTGTGTGGTATGTGTGTGTGTGTGGTATGCGTGTGTGTGTTTTAGAAAAATTCAGTGATTTTTTCATCTGAGCATTTGGAAGACGTTTTATCTCCTCAAAAGTCTCAGAATCAACAATAGTTCTTCCTTTTTGTGTCATGAAACGTTTCTGTCTTTGGGGTTATGTCCAGCTTCCCACATTACCTGCAATTTTGAAGAACCACCCTGGGTTATACTGCTGGATCCTGAGTAGATGAACTGTGGGAAGAAAGTTGTATTGAAACACCCACACTGTTTGATCCATCCCCTTAACAGATTCTCTTCCTATGCTCTTGTCATTCTGAAGTCTAGACTACCCCCGAGTTTTAGGAAGAAAGTGACATTGAAATGAAAAAACTACCTTGGTTCTAAGGGATTCCCTAAAAAAAGTGGTTCAATTTCTTTCTGTTAGAGAGATGAAAAGATGTTTAAAAGTCAGTGATCATTCATGCAATCAACATATAGGTTATAGGACTCAGGACTTTCTCAATAATTTTACGAGGGACAAATAGTGGATCCTTGCCTATACTTTGATGTTAAGTTAGCAAGCTAATGACTGGAAGTATTAAAAAATAAGATGGCTAGTATGATAGCTCTCATCTACAGGAATCCTCTTTCCCCTCAAAATATTCTAGGGAAGAAAAGGTCACTACAAAATAGTTTCAGAATGCAGTTGATCTGAAAATCAAATGACTTTATTTTTATTTTATTTATTTATGTCTGTTTCCTCAATCACTGTGATGTCTGTGACCTACTGGGAACTAGCTGAAAGTGTGTGTGGTTTTTTTTTTTTTATTTTGTATTAACTTTTCTTCCCATGGTATGTCTTCCATTTGCCTGCAGAACTCCCAGAAGATGACCTAAATATCCTAAGAAGAAGATCAAGAATCTCTCAGTCCAGGAGGATGCAATCTGCTACGAAAGCAGAGGCACCTTACCTTGGTTTACAGATAACCCTGCTGTTTTATTGCAGGGCATTCTGTTAGAGGTACTTAAACTCTACAGATATTTATAAAGTTTTCTCATTTATAAAGCAGGGAATGAAGAGCTATTGCATTTGATCTTTGTGGCAATGTTGTGTCAATGAGGTATCACTGGACTATGCATGATGCAGGGATGGACAAACCATTGAATATGATTTGTGGTTAATTTTTTCCATAAGCATCCTATTTACATGTTGGGCCTAAGGCTCTTTCTTGACACTTTGCAGTTGCAAACTCATTGCATCATTCCAGTTTAAGTAGTTGCTCTTTACAACACACACCTCTTTCCAGAAAGATGTTCGTTTTGCAATGCCTTCAGAGGTAAATCCTCTGAAGAAATGTCTCACAATCAAAGAAGTAAATGCCAGACCTCAGCCTTAGTGAAATGACTACTATGTCTCAGTAACCTTTCCACAAAGCTCAGGGATTGGGCTCCACTTAGACCTCTACTCGTTTAAAGCTCAATCTTGGTAGAGAAGAGCAAGAAAGTGGAAGAGTATTTATTGAAACCTGTTCTCTGTGAAGAAATTCATCCTTATATTAAGCCTTTTGCTTCTCGAGACTTGCTATCAAAGGGACATCAGTTGTGTCCCAGGTCACATGACTTCTGCATAAATGACCCGATTAACAAATTTCTTTTGGATTGAGTGCATTTGTGAACTAAACTAGCTAGGGGGAGGTCATGGCTTTGGGCTTCCTCAAGAGTAATTACTTTTAACTGGGCATGCTTCTGGTGGACAAATGTACCCATGAAAGGATTAGAATAACTACTTTAGGAACCTCTGATTAATTTCTCCCCATTCCTCTTGGCCCCCTGCCCCACCCCAAGGTTCTTCTTTTCTTTTTCCATATGTAACTTCTCCAAAAATTGCCTCTTTCCCTAGACACTAAACTCTTACTTTTGAGTTTTCACCCTGAAAAGAAAGGCTTCATAGCTGTTATATACACAGCCATGCTCTTTAAGATTCTTCTTAGTAATACTCCTTTTAAATCTTTTCTACGCACACATCCCAGCCTCTTGAGGTCCTTATCAAAACAGGCAATACATACAAAAATGTTCAAATGAGCACTATAAGTCAGTGATTGAGCCTAGTAAAGTTGGTGACCACAGAGTACTCTACTTGATCAATTAGAATCAAATACATAGGAATCAGTAATGGCCACAGTTCACTCACGAATGTTCCAGACACAAACAGGTAACAGATGCTACTTATCATAAGTTTACAACCGATACTGTGTTTCTTTTCTTCTAGCTGGTACAAAGAGAGCCAGAGAATCCCCAGTGCACTGTGAATTAGGCCAAGCATTATTTGTGCAGCCTGTGAGAAGAGAGAGCCAGCGTTATTATTCAAGGTGACTCTACCAAAGATGGTTTCAGTCTGGGTGTTCTGGGAAGTCTTGAACATATTCAGTTTGCTCTGTACATTAGTGTATTTATCAAGCTCTCCAAAAAAGAATAATCAACAAGAAACAAGATGCTAGTTCTAGTCTCTTCAGGATACTGATGTAATCATGGAGACCCCAGACACCATTCGACCCTATTCCACTGTCCTGCTAAACCTTTTGCTTCAGGATGGTGAGTGTTCACTATCTCTGAGCATTGAAAGAGTTACATGTCAGGGAGGAACCAAGGTTGAGACAGATGTGGCAGAGTGGTTTGAGTCTTCTTTGCTTGAACAAGAATGTTTTTATTTAATAACGTCCTTGAGGGACAATTATTTTGATTTTATAGGTGCTTCTAGTTAATTGAATAACAGAAGCCTATTGATCTGTCTTTCTCAGAAGGATGCCATGGCTCAAAGGAGAGCTGCTGGCCATGGGGACCTTGAAGTGTCTTTTTGAGCCCTACTATCCTTTCTATGGATTAAAAAAAAAAAGGCAGACTGTAGTTAGAAGACTCATCTCTTGTTCTTCACTGATAAAACCAACTAAGAACTTTTGACCTCTCCTTCTTTCCCTCTTCCCCTCTTATCTGGGACTTGAACTTCAGTTTACCCTTGTTGTCATATCCAGTGTTGATCTTTGCCACTGGGAATGAACAAATCTAAGCCTTATTTAAAAGAGAAAATACTATTTATGAAGCCCAAAGCCTAGTTAAGGATCTATTGACCATGACAAAGATGCAGGAAGAGGTGGATTGGTTATTGCTCTGGTTAGTTTTTTGTCCACTTGATAGAAGGTGAAGTCATCTGAGAAGAGGTACCCTCAACTGAGAAAATGCTTCTAACACATTGGCATGTGTGTCAGTTTGTGGAGCATTTTCTTCATTTGTGATTGATGTGGAAGGACCGTTTCTGAGAAGTTGGTCCCGGGGTATATAAGAAAGTAGGTTGCATAAGCTGTGAAGAACAAGCTAGCAAGCAGCATTCCTCCATGGCCTCTGCTTCAGTTTCTGCCCCAAGATTCCATTCCTTGTCTTCTACTGTTGATGAACTGTAGCCTACAAGCTAAACAAACTCTTTCCTTCCCATATTGCTTTTTATTATGGTATTTTTCCACTACAGCAATAGCATAGAAAGGACGAAAGAAAGAAAGAAAGAAAGAAAGAAAGAAAGAAAGAAAGAAAGAAAGAAAGAGAGAGAGAGAGAAAAGAAAGAAAGAAAAGAAAAGAAAGAGGAAGGAAACTAAGGCAGGTAGGTATGTACAGACTGAGTGCATATCCTATTCACTTGATTTCTAAAATCTTTCTGTATTGAGTGAGAATGGCCTTTGTTGAGTACTGACATAAGATGCAAATATCTTCAATTTTCTTTGGCTTATTTTTAGATATTTATTTCAAAGAATGTTTCTCCAATGTCTTAATTACTTTTTCCGTTACTGTGGAAAGAAGTGTGGCTTGGTGAGACAAGTGACACATACCTCACAATGAACAACTCAGGTTGTGTGGTAAGTTGGTAAGCCATGCTTAAATGTTGAGTTTGTATTTAGGTGCAGTAGAAGGCCAAGTGTTCCTCAAAAGGACAGCAGTTATATTCAGAGAATGACAAGATTTTTTCCCCCATAAAATGCTGCAATAAATTAGTAGGTGTCTGCCAGAGACTTCAGGAAAAAAAAAACAAACCCCAACTCCATCAGCCAATAACATTTCAAATTCTGTTGGAATGGCTGGATCCACCAGTACAGAGATGATGCAGCGTGCACAGTAGCCTGGATTTATAGCAGTTTCCACCTATTACAACACATGCTCCTATCTGTCTGTCTTTTGGGTTGCTTTTCAAGAAGGCATGAAAAACACTCCCAAAGTATTCCATTGTTTCAGTATCCACTCCTTCCAAATTTTTGATACTCTTTTCCCCCTCCATTTCTTTTTTATTTTTTTTGAGATTATAATTATATCATGTCCCTCCTCCTTCCCCTCCTCCTCTGGTCTATGCCATTGACTTGGGATTCTTTCCCTGCATCTATGTCTATAATTTGAAAGTTTGATTTTTTTTTCATGGTGTCACACATGTCTACAGGTCTGATAGATTTTGGAGAGAAGCTATGGATTGATATTTCCTATTTGTATGTCTGTGATGAGAGCTGGGCGTGAGAGCTTCTTTTGTTAGTTCTAAGTCTGATACTGGCAGAGCAGGTTGGGACAGAAGAGATGATGTGTGGGCGGGTTGGGTCCTGAAGTTGAAAATGGTTTTGGGGGGAATGGGATTTAGGAGAATGGGCTAGTATACAGGATGTGCCTTCTGGTCTAAGTCTTGAGTGTAGGTTTGGATGTGGAAAGTTTGGATGTGGTGTGGGAGGGACCTGTGGATTGGGGGTTAGGTGGGGTAAGTTCTGGCAGAGCAGTAGAGATTGGCTGCTACATGGGCAGGGACTCAGCCAAGGTGCTGGATGTGGGACTCAAGCTACATCTGGTGGATTGGGAAGGGTATATGGATAGGAAGTGTCAGGTAGAGGCACAGAGCTGGATTCTGGAGGAGGATGTGGGAGATCTGGCTGAGTAGAGAGGTTGGATATTGGTTTTAATGCTGTTGGCTTAGATCCAGATGTTGTTCAAGGACCCATAAATATGGATGGCTCTTATGTGTAAGTATAGCATTCTAAATTTGAAGAGAGCTGAGAGGGATAACATTGGTGTGTTATATGTTTGACCCAGAGGTGAGTGTAGGGGACCATGTTGACAACATGAGACCTCAGAGTTTAAGCAGCCTATTCTGGCTTTGTATTTGAGATCACCATCTACTTTCTTCTTTTATTATTTACAAACATTGCTTTAAACCATTTCAAACAAGGGTTACCAGCAAAGGCAGAAAACAAATATCTTCAACACCTCTAATCTCAGAGTATGTTTCCTAAGATCAGGATAGACTGGGAAAATGTTGAAGAATCCGGGAATGGTATGTAAATACATGTTCTGTGTGACCAATTAGCTCTGGTCTAATTGTCTTCACTTCAAAATACATTTATCCGCATTTTGATCCCCAAGGAGCTCATTGTAAATACTGTCTGTCAATGTTTCTACATTGTTTATTAGTAAAAAGTAACACTATTTATTAATCAAACCATAGTACTTAGTGCTTACCCCCATTGCATTTGTCTCTTCTTTTAAGATATACATCTTTGGTACTTCATTTGTTGGCATTCTGACTTAGATATGGGATCAAAATAATAGAGGATGGATGGGCTCCTTTTCTGTAAAGAGATATAGGGAAAATTTAATACTAATTATTTTTGAGGGACACATTTAAAATGGAAGTTCTCATTTACCTACCACATAATTACTTGAAAATAGCTTTATTTTTTAAAACATAAATCAAGTGACACTGATTCCTTTTATGTGTTTGTTTTCTGGAAAACACCAAGAGCTACCTTTCAGATTATTTCTTCACTGTGGCCTTTACTGAGATAGAGCAGATATTTTGAAAATTAAGAAAACAAAAAGTGTGTGTGTGTGTGTGACTTCAGAGATGAGAATAGGATGTAAGAATTCCTGAATGTGGATGCTGAGAACTAAATTTAGGTCTTACCTAAGAGCAGCAAGTGTTCTTAGCTACTTAACCACCTGTCAGCCCAAAGTAGATATTTTTAATATAGTTATTATACTTTCATTGTCTTTATTTTTCTAGGCTTTGCCTGCTCTCTTAAGTCCACTGGGGTCCTGGGTTCTTGACTGATTTTTTTCTCTCTCTTAAGAATATGCCATGACTACCATACAACAAATAGACAGCCAATTCTAATTAAGCCAGTGGGTGTTCCATTTACAGTCAACTGCATTTAGTATGAAGATAACACAGTCTCTTTCTTGACTTGCCTCTTGAACAAGTAGTAGCAGAGGTGCCATGCTGCCTTATGAAGGAAGAGTGAAAAGAAGGCAATGTATTGTATTTGCATTAATGATATTGCTAAGGATAAGGCTAGTAGCTTTTGAAGTGCTTATTGAAGGTTCAGAGGGTAGCTGCAAACAACTTCATTGTTATACCCAGCTAGACTTTCTCATTTCCATACCAGAGGACTTTATACCAGGTGACTTGTAGAACATTTCTTCACTATGTGGGAGGAGCATATCTCTCTAACTCAATAATGTGTGGATTGTGTGACATGATTTGACTGAGAATGACATGTTATTCTTTCTTCCTTCCTTCCTTCCTTCCTTCCTTCCTTCCTTCCTTCCTTCCTTCCTTCCTTTCCTTTCTTCCCTTCCTTCCTTCCTTCCTTCCTTCCTTCCTTCCTTCCTTCCTTCCTTCTTTCTTTCTTTCTTTCTTTCTTTCTTCTTATTGGATATTTTATTTACATTTCAGATGTTATCCCCTTACCCTGTTTCCCCCACCTCTGCCCAGGAACCCCCTATCCCATCCCCCCTCCTCCTGCTTCTATGAGGAGGTGCCCCCCACCCCCCCCCCCCCAACCCCCCCCCCCCCCAAATCCTCCACACTCAGTGTCCAGCTTTTATGGGACCAAAGATCTCCTCTCCCACCTATGCCTGACAAGGCCATCCTCCCCTACATATACAGCTGGAGCCATGGGTCCCTCCCTATGTGCTCCCAGGCTGGGGGTTTAGTCCCTGGGAGCTCTGGTTGGTTGGTATTGTTGCTCTCTTCATGGGGCTGCAAATCCTTTCATCTCCTTCAGCTCCTTCTCTCTAACTCCTCCATTGGGAACCTCTTGATCAGTTCAATGATTAGCTGTGAGCATCCGCCTCTGAATATGTCAGACTCTGGCAGACCTCTAAGGAGACAGCTATATCAGGCTCCTGTCAGCATGCACTTCCTGGCATCCATATCAGCATCTACCTTTGGTGACTGCACATGGGATGGATACCCAGGTGAAATGGTCTCTAGACAGCCCCTCCTTCAGTTTCTGTCCCACACTTTGTCTCCATATTTGCTACCTTGAGTATTTTGTTACTCCTTCTAAGAAGGATTGAAGCACCCACACTTGGTCTTCCTTCTTCATGAGCTTCACGTGGTCTATGAATTGTATCTTGGGTATTCTGAGCTTCTGGGCTAATATCCAATTATCAGTGAGTGAATACCATGTGTGTTCTTTTGTGATTGGCTTACCTCACTCAGGATGATATTTTCTAATTCCATCCATTTACCTAAGAATTTCTTGAATTCATTGTTTTTAATACCTGAGTAATACTCCATTGTGTAAATGTACCACATTTTTTGTATCCATTCCTCTGTTGAAGGACATCTGGGTTCTTTGAAGCTTCTGGCTATTATAAATAAGGCTGCTATGAATGTAGTGGAGCATATGTCCTTGTTATATGATGGGGCATCTTCTGGGTATATGCCCAGGAGTGGTATAGCTGGGTCCTGAGGTAATGCTATGTCCAAATTTCTGAGGAACCACCAGACTGATTTCCAGAGTGGTTGCACCATCTTGCAATCTCACCAACAGTGGAGACTCTTCCTCTTTCTTCATATCCTTGCCAGCATCTGCTGTCACCTGAGTTTTTGATCTTAGCCATTCTGACTGCTGTGAGGTGGAATCTCAGAGTTGTTTTGATTTGCATTTCCCCGATGACTAAGGATGCTGAACATTTCTTTAGGTGCTTCTCAGCCATTCAAGTTTCCTCAGTTGAGAATTCTTTGTTTAGCTCTGTACCCCATTTTTAAATAGGATTATCTGGTTGTCTAGAGTCTAATTTCTTGAGTTCTTTGTATATATTAGATATAAGCCCTCTATCGTATGTGGGATTGGTAAAGATCTTTCCCCAATCTGTTGGTTGCCATTTTGTCCTATTGACAGTGCCTTACAGAAACTTTCCAATTTTATGAGGTCCCATTTGTTAATTCTTGATCTTAGAGCAGAAGACATTGGTGTTCTGTTCAGGAACTTTTCCCCTCTGCCCAAGTACTCACGATTCTTACCCACCTTCTCTTCTATTAGTTTCAGTATATCTGGTTTTATGTGAAGGTCCTTTATCCACTTGGACTTGAGCTTTGTACAAGGAGATAAAAATGGATCGATTTGCATTCTTCTACATGTTGTCCTCCAGTTGAACTAGCAGTTGAACTAGTTGAAAATGCTGTAGTTTTTCCAATGGACAGTTTTAGCTCTTTGTCAATGATCAAGTGACAATAGGTGTGTGGGTTCATTTCTGGGTCTTCAATTCTATTCCATTGATCTTCCTGCCTGTCTCTGTACCAATACCATGTAGTTTTTTTTTAAAATCTATCTATCACTATTGTTCTGTAGTACAGCTTGAGGTCAGGGATGGTAATTCCTCCAGAAGTTCTTTTATTGTTGAGAATAGTTTTTTGCTATCCTGGGTTTTTTGTTATTCTAAATGAATTTGAGAATTTCTCTTTTTAACTCTGTGAAGAATTGAGTTGGGATTTTAATGGGGATTGCTTTGAGTCTGTAGATTGCTTTCAGCAAGATGGCCATTTTTACTATATTAATCCTGTCAATCCATGAGCATGGGAGATCTTTCTATCTTCTGAGATCTTCTTCAATTTCTTTCTTCCGAGACTTGAAGTTGTTGTGATACAGAGCTTTCACTTGCTTGGTTAGATTCACTCACAGTTATTTTATATTATTTGTGACTATTGTGAAGGGTGTCATTTCTCTAATTTCTTTTTCAGCCAGTTTATCTTTCATGTCGAGGAAGGCTACTAATTTGTTTGAGTTGACTTTATAACCAGCCACGTTGCTGAAGTTGTTTGTCAGGCTTAGGAGTTCTCTGGTGGAATTTTTGGGGTCACTTAAGTGTACTATCATATCATCTACAAATAGTGATATTTTGTCTTCTTCCTTTCCTACATGTATTCCTTTGACTTCCTTTTGTTGTCTAATTGCTCTGGCTAGGACTTCTAGTACTATATTGAATAGGTAGGGAGAGAGTGGGCACCCTTGTCTAGTCCGTGATTTCAGTGGGATTGCTTCAAGTTTCTCTCCATTTAGTTTGATGTTGGCTACTGGTTTGCTGTATATTGCTTTTACTATGTTTAGGTAGGGGCCTTGAATTCCTGATCTTTCAAGACTTTTACCATGAAGGGATGTTGAATTCTGTCAAATGCTTTCTCAACGTGTAGTGAGATGATCATGTGGTTTTTTTCTTTGCGTTTGTTTATATAGTGGATTACATTGATGGATTTCTGAATATTGAACCATCCCTGCATTCCTGGGATAAAGCCCACTTGATCATTATGGATGAATGTTTTGGTGTGTTCTTGGATTCGGTTCGCTAGAATTTTATTGAGTATTTTTGCATCGATATTCATAAGGGAGATTGGTCTGAAGTTCTCTTTCTTTGTTGGGTCTTTGTGAGGTTTAGGTATGAGTGTGATTGTAGCTTCATAGAACGAATTGGGTAGTGTTCCAACTCAGGGCTGAAATCAACCAAGTAGAAAAAGAAAAAAAAATACTGTATAAAATATCAACAAAACCAGGAATTGGTACTTTGAGAGAATCAACGAGATAGATGAACCCTTAGCCAGATTAACCAGAGGGCACAGAAATAGTATCCAAATTAATAAAATCAGAACTGAAAAGGGAGACATAACAACAGAAACTGAGGAAATTCAAAAAATTATAAGATCCTACTTCAAAGGCCTATGCTCTAAAAAACTGGAAAATCTGGATGAAATGGACAATTTTCTAGACAGATACTAGGTACCAAAGTTAAATCAGGAGCAAATAAACCATCTAAACAGTCCCATAACCTCTAAAGAAATAGCAGCAGTCATTGAAAGTCTCTTAACCAAAAAAAGCCCAGGACCAGATGGTCCTGTCAGGTATAGGTGAGAGAAGAGATCCTTGGTCCCATGAAGGCTAGAAGCCATGTGTGGGGGAATTCGAGGGTGGGGAGGTGGGAGTGGTGGGTAGGTGGGAGCACATCCTCATAGAAGCAGGAGGAGGGGGAATGGGATAGGGGTTTCCTGGGTGGTGGGGGATGGGGTAAAGGGATAATATCTGAAATGTAAATAAATATCCAATAAAAATAATAAAAAAAACATAGAGAAAATGCTCATCTTGCCAAAAGCAATCTACAGATTCAATGGAATTTCCATCAAAATTCCAACATAATATTTTACAGACGTTGAAAGAGCAACTCTCTATTTCATATGGAAAAACAAAAAACCCAGGATATGTAAAACAATCCTGAACAATAAAATAACTTCTTGAGGAGTCACCATCCCTGATCAAGTTGTACTACAGAGAAGTAGTGATAAAAGCTGAATGG